GTCTAGAATGTTTTATAACTATTACTAGAATTTCCAGTGTTCATAAAAGATCATTTATTAGACCCTCCCCATGCACTGGGAGGTAATTATAAAGAACATGATAATTTAGAGATGAAGCCCTAGGACTTGCTCTATCATGTTCGTTTAGTATTTTTCTAAAAATGGGGAAAATTTCTTTTACAAAAGCTTAAGTTCCTTGTTAACTCTCTTGAGCCAAACCCAGAACACTTATGCAAGTGTTTTATAAGATAAAACTTCTCCACATTTTTCTTGGCCATATGGCAGGCCTAACCTTCAGAGTGGTATAAAGGGAATGGACTTTATTCTTTATTTGCCAAACAGTTTTAGATGGTTTGCTGTATGCAAGGTCCTGAAGTAGGTAATGAAGATATAAAAATTAGGTAATTTAAAATTGTTGCTGTCACCACTATCTCTACAGACTTTAGGAGACAAATGTGAAAATAAGGTAATGCAATTAATGAGTAAGTACTGTGATGAAGATATATGCTGTTTGGATTCCTAACGAAGGGAACGGCGGTTATCAGTGGCAATAAGGAAAAGAATCATGAAGAACAAGACACATGTGCTCCCGCTTGAAGAACAAATGTTTAGGTAGTTGGCACTTGTGAGGGTATATTTGGGAAGAATGGTAGAAAATTCAGTGTGACCAGTACTTAGGATGCACAGAGGAAGTGGGAAGGTTGGGTTATGTTTTGAAGGAACTCATTCATCCTTAAGAATCAGTTGTCGTTTTATTTTGAAGATAGTGGAGGTGTTTGAACAGAGGAAATGACATGACAAAGTTTGTTTTCTAGGAAGATAAATTTGGTACCTGTTTAGAGGATAGGCTCATAGGGAAAAATTAATGACAGGAAGTTCTGTTACAAATTTGCTATAACAATTCATGACAAAGATGGTGAAGAATGACAGTGGAGATGAAGAAATAAATCTGCAACAAGAGCTCTCCCTAAGTACCATACAGCAGTGGCTGTGTTATGTTGTCTCTTGGGTATAGGAATTGTGTCCTCTCAAAAAGTCATATGTTGCCCAGCCGGTGTGGCTCAGTGGATTGAGCATCATCCCGTGCACCTAGAGGTCACTGGTTCGGTTCCCAGTCAGGGCACATGCCCGGGTTGCAGGCTCGATCCCCTGTAGGGGGCATGCAGAAGGCAGCCGATCAATGTTTCTCTCTCATAGATGTTTCTGTCTCTCTCCCTCTCCCTCTCCCTCTCCCTTCTTCTCTTCTCTAAAATCAATAAGAACATATTTTAAAAATTCATTTGTTGAAGTTACAACACTTAGTACTTCAGAATGTGAATGTACTTGGTGATAGGTTCTCTATAGTGGCAATTAAGTTTAAATGGGGTCCTTTGGGTGGGCCCTAATCCAATATGACTGGTGTCCTTATAAGAAGAGGTAATTTGGACACAGGCATGTACAAGGAGAGATGATGGGAAGACACAGAAAAATGTTGGCCAATTACAGCCAAGGAGAAATGTCTGGGACAGATCCTTTCCTCAGCCCTCAGATCCAACCCTGATGACACCTCCTAGTCTTGGACTTCTACCCAATAAATTTAAATTTATGTTGTTTAAGCCACCCAATCTGTGGTATTTTTTCTGTTACGGGAGCCCTAGTAAACTAATATAGAAGTGTTGTGGTATATACTTAAATCTTTATTAACATGGATAGGGCACACAAGAAAATAATAATGCTGGTTTCTTTTAAAGGACAGTGTTGAAAGGAAATCTTTCACTCATACCCTTTTATAATTACTGATTACTTACTCATGTGAACATAATATTGAAAAATACTTTAAATTAATTAAATTAATGGAAAAAAAGCTATTTTGAGGAAAAATATGATTTGTTGATATAATGGATAGCAGAGACAAGTGGTTAAGAGAATTAAAGATGATGTTAATATTTCTAGCTTAGAAAGTTGATTGAGTGAGAATGTTTTAAAAGTGGGAGGCAAATGCAGAGTTCTACCTTATACATGTTAAATTTTAAAACTTAGATCTACACTCAGAAATATCCATTCTGCATCTAGAAATAAGTCGCTGGGGCTGGAAGACAAGCTTTGGGCTGGCATATGCCTTAGTATTTCATTGACCCAGAGATAGTACTCAGAGTCACAGAGTCTCAGAGTCACTAAGACACAGAGATTTGAAAATGTACAAAATAAGTGTCTTAGAATTGTTGAAATACAGAAGTTTAGGAACTGAATCATGTCAGTTAGCTCAGGGCCAGAGAAAGGCCAAGGGTGGGACTGGAAGGATTATGAGCCTTCAGGAGTGGGTAGAAGAGGAAGACGCAGTGAAGAGGCTTGAGAAGAAAGGGTTAGCACAGTAGGAGCTGAAATCGAATCCAGTTGTGTCTGAAAAGTGAGGTGTCTGAAAAAAAAAAGTGAGGTGTCTGAAAAGTGAGTTGTGTCTGAAAAGTGAGATCAGGATGAGGGGAGGCAGGTTAAAGATTCAGAAAGTTCTAATTGGATATCGACTCAAAAGTTAGATTTGCTTGAAATTTTACATGAGTCTTATTTGTGTCTGTATTAATCAGTGAAGATAAAAAGATTTTGTTAAGCTTCCATGTACTGATGCCAATGTGATATTTGATATTTGTTTATACGCATCAAGTAAGTATATTTCTTTACACATTGATATATCAGTTATTAAAATTCATAATACCACCATAAGCTTTTAAATTATTCTCCCACATATTTGCATGAAATACATTTTTAAAGTATGTAAATAACAGTAATAATGTTCACTGTAGAAGATTTTCTAAATATAAAAATTTGAAGAAAATATTAAAATGACCTCTAATCCTATCACCTAGAAATAGTCACTATTAATATACAGATAAATCTTCTTCCCGTTTTTTTCTATATAGGTATATGTATGCATTGAGGTATTTATACAGAAGTCTCATTTCTATCCAATTTTTCACCTACCTTTATATCACAAACAAGGTCCCCTATCATTAAAAATTCTTACTTTTTTCATAGATGCAAAATACTCTAGCATATGGATATACCCTAATTACTTGACTATTCTCATTTGACATTTAGATTATTTCTAGTATTTCATTTAAAATGCTTATTGATACTTATTTTTATTTTCTATAATTTTCCTGGGCTAGATTTTCCAAAGTGAAATTGCCCCCTTGGAGATCATGTGGATTACAAAACAAACTATGTATTATTTTTCCTACTGTGTATTCTGACAGTGTATGAAGATGCACATCTTGCCATCATTTGAATATTTTCATTTAAAAAAAACCTTCTGAGCATTTAGATTATTTACTGTTAGGATTCTAATTACAATTCTCAAATAGTTGTTATTCTTAGAGTAAATGTCCTTCTTTTTAAAAAAATCCTCACCCAAGAAAAAATTTTTATTGATTTTGAGAGAAAGATAGAAAGAGAGACACAGAGGGAGAGAGACAGAGAGAGAGAGAGACCTCGATGTGAGAGACACATTGATCTCTTGCCTCCTGTCTGAGCCCTGAGCAGGGATGGAACCCTAAACCTAGGTATGTGCCCTAATCGGGAATTGAACCTGCAGCCTTTTGGTGCACAGAAGGGCACTCCAACCAACTGAGCCACCCAGCCAGGGCTAAGCGTCCTTCTTTTTGGTGGATCTAAATATCTGAGGTATAATAAATTATTAGTGACAATCTAGTGAGCCACCTGCAGTGAATAAGGCAGGGAGTATTAGGCATAATTCTTGCCTTATATTCACTCAGAAGTTTTTTTCGGGATGTTTCTTTTCTAGCCTATGTAAATTACATTAGAAACTCTTAGAAACTTTATTTCCATTCCAAATGGGCACATGAAAATTATAAGCCACTAACTAGAGCTACTACTTCTTAAAAAAACACATGCTTTTTCAGCATAAATTGGTAGGGAGAAATGCATTGGGATGGGAAAGGATGACTGAGTTATAACAGATTCTTCTATCTAATTACATATACAGGTGGCAAATGCATTATTAAAATAGTGCTTAGTGTCTTATGTTTCAAGTGAAAATTGTAATTAAAAAGTATGTTCTCTCCTCCTCTAGTACTTTACCATAGGGGTCTTGTCTATCTGGTGAATTTTAGAACAATTAAAAGTGATAATGTTTTTCTTTCAGTGAACTGCTCACCTCTCTAGTGTATCAAATAAGTATTTTAATCTGACTAAGATGATTCACCGGGCGTGCTTTAAAATCTTGAGCATGCTATTTATTTTAAATGACTGCTGTGCCTTCCCCAAATCTTGGATTTAACTGTAATCTTGGGTGCCCATAATGTGGTCTGTGCATTTTTTCAACTGTATTACATTATTTCATGATAGAATAAATTTATATTCTCAAACTTGAGTATTTTCTCTGCTAGCAATATACTACTTTGAAGAAAGTTGGATTGGCATATGAGGAAACAGTCTAAGACTTGACTGGTTAATAGATTCCACCCCTGTTTAATGTAGGATTCCTTAGTTCTGATTCCTCAAGATTCTTTGAAAGGAATCACACCATTCATAATAATACCTTGAACTCTTAATAATTGTGGTTATTAAATTTTTATGTCTTTGTATGAAATTTTTAATTTGATTAAAAAAACTACTTAGGTCCCAGGAACTGTGCTTTGAGCTGCTTTTTTACTTTAGACTTCTTTTTATTTCCATCAGTCCCCAACATAGAACATTAAAAATAGTAGCTATTCAGCCTACAGCTTTTTTATTTACTTGTAATATAACAGTGAAAAGCTCTATGGGATATTTCTTGTTATAAATAAAAAAATAACCACAATATTCATTCATTCTGATATTTGTGATGGGTAAATAACCGTCACTTTTTACTACTGAGTTAAAATCTACAGGAAAGTGTATGTTTGTTTGTGTGTTGAACTTTATATCTAGAATAGTTCTCTATACAACAGAATCATTGTCCCTGAAACACTACTCTCTTCTCACTTCTCCTTTCTTGTATGTTTTGTGGCTGTGTTATTTTTCAGGGACTCCCGAAAGCCTAGCTGAGAAGGAGAGGCAGCTCATGGGGATGATCAATCAGCTGACCAGCCTGCGAGAGCAGTTGCTGGCTGCCCATGACGAGCAGAAGAAACTGGCTGCATCACAGATTGAGAAACAGCGGCAGCAAATGGAGCTGGCCAAGCAGCAGCAAGAGCAGGCAAGAACTAGAGTCACAGATTCCTTGGGCTTTCGTTTGCCTATTTGTGTCACTCTCCCAGGCATACAAAGGTCATTTAAAGCCTCTCTCCCTCCTCCCCCCCACATAACTAAATTAAAAGGCAAAAACACCAAAGCAAACTCTGGCGTGAAGAAGGTTATCGATTACTTCAGTGGTAGGTAACATGGATGTGATTTTAATCAAGGGGAAGTGCTGATAGGTCAAGAGAAGAGTCCCCAAACCGTGGAGAGCCAAGAGAATGTTTCCGGTCAGGAACATTGTGAGAGGTCTCATTAAACAGGGGTTTGTTATGGGCTTTGAAGAATACGTAGGATTCACCAAGTGAAATAAAATTTCAATTATGGGGCAGGAACTTTAGATAAGAAAGAGTGAGAATCTGAACTAGATTGGGCATTGGCCATGGAAAACAGGAGAGAGGAATAAACAGGGGAAGAGCTATGGTTAGTTGAATTTTTTGAGTGGGCCAAAGGCAGAGGAAAAGTGTTGAGCCTGAGTAATAGGGAAAGTTAGGGGGAGAGCAACTTTGGAAAAGCATGTGGCTATCTTACGTTGAATTAGAGCTATTGTCAGGCTGTCACTCTAGAGTACGTGAGAGACAGGTAGAAATACCGAACAAGAGAGGGCTGAACTAAATGTCTCAGGTTATCTACATAGAGATGGTAGTTTAAAACCCTAGAGTAGGTAAGTTTCATTCATTTGTTCAACCTGGCACTGTGCTAACTTCTGAGGCTAGCTCAGTTAACCAAAACGAAAAAGCCCCTAAATTCTAGTGGAAAGAGATGACTGACAAAGAAAAAGAGAAATTAACAAAGTAATTTCAAGTAGTGATAAGGAATTGAAAGAAATGGAAGAAGAGTAATTTGATAAATATTGATTTGTATGGAAAGGCAGTGTTTCTTAGATGTGGTCAGATCTAAATGACATACAAGAGACAGCCATGTTAATATCTTGCGCCCAGAGTGTTTCATACAGAGAAATGGTAGGTTTATAGACCTTAAATTAGAGTAGTGGTGAAATCATGAGAAAATGTACAAGAACTAACTAACTAGATCCTTGGGAGATACTGGTATATAGCTGCTAGAGAGAGAAAAATGAACAAATCCAGAACCAAGACGCTACTGAAATTGTCATTTAGATACTCATTGTTGGCCTTTAAGAGTGTGGCTTCTGTGGAGCTTTAGTAGCAGACATCAGACTGTACAAAGTGACATGTAGAAGAATTCACATGTGGTGGGAAACTGGTGACAAAGTATTAAGAACTATTACTTAAAGGAAAGTTGGTAGTAATGAGAAGGGAAGATAGAGGGGGTCATAAGATGAGCTTACATATAGAGATGGAACATCATTTAAAGGGCTAGCATCCATGTTCTGGGCTTAGTTCACTCACCACCCACAGTGGAAGAGAGCCATTGTTTAGGCCAGGGTATTTCATTACTGCAAAACCTTCCAAACTGCTCTCAAATTGTAAACTAGTGTAGCTGAAAGAGGTAAAGAAATAGTCAGATTATATTTGAAGAGATACCCTTTCTTTCAATTTATTCTCTCTACTTGGTGGCTCATATATGCTTGAAAGATGGCTTTTTATTTTTATTTTTAATGAAATGCTTCATCATTTTCTTTAAAGATATATTTCGCCTGTTGTTGGCTATGGCCCATATTTCTTTTGCTTTACCCCCTGTAATAAAACAGTTCAGAATTATTGCCTGTGACAGTCTAGAAAAACACCACTCTTTTCTTATGCGTTTTTAACTCTCAATGCCTTCAGACATCTGAATTCTAGAGAATTCTAGGAGCCTCTGAAACTGTAGCTCAGATGGGGATATTTCTTTGTAAAGAATCCCTACTTTGGGGGTTTGAGGGCACCCTGGTCCTTAAAACTCTGAGCAATCACTAACGGAGTGCAAGGTTCCTTTCTTTCTCTTTCAGGTTCTGGCCCACCCCTAAATATCATCACAAGATTCTAGAATTTTTTACTTTCTCTGACATTCTCCTCTGAACTTTAGAAATCCTTAAGTTCTTCCAGAATTTCTTCCCCATACTGGAGAGATGCCAGGCAGTGATGCCTACACAGCCTGAGAGAAGATCTCTCCTGAGAGCCGCAGGTCAGGTTTCTAGAGCCCAGTCTGCTCCCCCAGATCTGCTCTCCCATGCGGCGCTGGCACACATAGTCACCACTCTTGTGATCATCATCTTCTCATCAGGTTGCAGGAAAATCTCTGAACAGCATTTAGTATTTATTCCTTAAGATGCAGGTTAGGTTCATCTTCTCCCGAGAACTTCTTTCCTGACTCTCCTCCTAACGCTGCCTACTCAGTATAGTGTATGCCTCCTCTGTACACCCCACGGTTCCTCTCACAGCCCTCGGAGATGCCAGTGAACCCATTTCCCGTTCAGCCTTTCCCCCAGACTCCGAGCTCCATTCCATATTCATCTCTTCAACAAATAATAGATCTATTGAGTACCAAGTTGATGCCGGCTTCTGTTCTAATTCCTGGGATCCAGCAAGGAATGAAACAGACAAAAATCCTTTATGTATTGAATTCTAGTTGGGAAGATATAGACTATAAATAAAAAAGTAAAATAGTGTTTGTTAAGGCTTACGGTGAAAAATAAAGCACAGAATTAGAGATGAGGGTGCCAGATAGAGAGGCTCTTTTAAAGCTAATGATCAGGGAGGGCCTTATCAGCAGGTTAGTATTTGAGTAGAGACCTGTAGGAGGGGAGGGAGGGAGCCATCCAGTTATCTAGGAAAAGAGTGTTTCAGATGGAGGGGAAAGTGAGTGCAGAGCCCAGAGGCAAGAGTATCCTTGGGAGGTAGGAACATCTTTGGTGTGTTCAAGAGACAGGAGAGCAGTGTGGCAAGAGTGGAGTGACAAAGGGGAGAGAAGGGGATGAAATCAGAGAGGTAGCAGGAGGCCAAGTCATATTGGGCTTGCAGGCATTACGTGAACACTCGCCTTTACTCTGAGTGAGACGAAGGATTTTGAAAAGATGAATGATGTGACAACTTACCTTTTCAAAGGATCTCTTCAGACGCTGAGTTATAATAGGCTGTAGGGAGCAAGGGCAGAAGCAGAAAGCACAAATAAGAGGCTGTCTCAACAGTCCAGGCAAGAGGGAACAGTAGCTTGGAACGGGAAGAAGGGGGCGTGGGGTGGTGCAGGTAGTCAGTTTCTGGGTAAATGATTAAGATGCTGATAAGAGGATTTAAATATCAGCTGAAATTTGGTATGTGGGAGGAAAGAACTGGACTTAAGGGGGAAAAAAGTAATATCCCCTTTTCTGCCATCTCCTTTCCTACCTTTCTTCAGGAAAAAAAAGAAATTACTGTATTCCTGAGATTAAAGAAAGTATTACAATAATTATAGTTGTGCCAGTGTCCATAAGGGAAATAAAAGTTTATTGTGCAGCCATTTAGACCCATCCCCTTCATATTGGTTCTTTCATTGATAGTAAAGGACTCTTCTTGTGTTTTTCCTAAATTTTTAGCTTTCTGATACTGAATTTAAGGAAACCTACTCTTCTAAAGAAAATGATAGTGTTGAGGATAAGAATCGGAGCTTATTTATAAGAGTGGTGTTACATTCTCATGAGAAGGTTTCCTACCCTTTAGGGTCCAATAAAGTGTTTAAAATTTTCTTCTCGTGTATTCAGTCTCGCATTCTTCATCAACTCTTCATTCTGTTTTAGCTCCAGGCTTTTGGCAAATGGTGAGCATAATACGCATGACCCATAGCGTAGTATGTATTTAGTAAGAGGATATTATCAGAGCAAATAATGGCATGATTGTGCTAGTCACTGACTTAGAAAACATTTCAGATGGCCACACTGAGGGCTAAGTCCGAGTTTAGCTTTGAACCTGTTGAATTTGAAGTACCTTTGGGAATGTCATTGGATAAATGGGTCTGAAGCTTGAAGCAAAGTTCTAGTCTAGAGAAACACATTTTTAAGCACCTGGTGTACATATGGAAGCAGACATAGAGGGAAAAGAGTTGAGTCTAAAATTAAGCCTTGTAGAACTACAACAGTGGGGAAAGCTTTGAAGTTGACTGAGAAGGAACAGACTGAGATGTAGGAGCAAAACCAGGGCAATGTGACATCCTGGAAGCCAAGGAAGAAGGCTCAGGGTCATTGGAAGCACTTGAGTGTTGAATACTGATGAAAGGTCACAAGGTGAGAACTAAAATAACACTTCAGAATTTAAAAAATGGAAGTGAGTGGTAACTTGATTAAGAATCATATTTGTTGAGAATAGGAGCAGAAACGAGAATAGAGTGTGCTGAGGAGTTGGCAGTTTAGAGGTTCGTGGGAAGCAGAAATGACAGTATTTACCAAAGAACCAAGAAACAAACACGAAAACCAAAACCTCACTAAAAAATAAAGCATCTTACCATACCCTGTGCTACTCTGAACCACTTGGTCACCAAAACCCCATTTAATCAATACTCCCTTTCGTAGAAAACAGCTGAAAATGTCAGAGAAAGTACCTTCGTAACATATTGCCTGGAGGTGGGATTTTTGAAACTATTCATAGTGGATTAAATCACTGTTGTAGTGTCTCAGGGCTTTATTTGTTTTAGGCCAAAAGAGCCATAGCTGTTCCTGAAGACTGAATGTCTTGTTTGATTCTACTTACAGATGAATTGCTGGTACCATAGAGACACAAGCACATCTATTTGCATCATCTTAATAATCAGTGTCAAATCAAACTTTGAGAAACAGAACATTGGTAATTTCCCCCTAGGACTAAAATATACTTAAAAAACTCCCTGTATAATTTCTCCACAGATTGCCAGACAACAGCAGCAACTTCTGCAGCAACAACACAAAATCAATTTGCTTCAGCAACAGATCCAGGTCAGAAATCATAATTTCATACGTACTTCTAATGAAAAGATATATGCTTTGTTTCTCATTCTTAGATGGACATAATTGAAATGATCTACAGAGTAAAAATTACTTTCAGCCTAATTCATGAGGTGTTGCCTCCTGTGACATGAGAATCTTGCACGTGGTGGCTCTGTCACAGGCCCTCCTGTGACAGGGAGCTTCAGTCTAAGCAGCTGACAGTAATTTTCATCCCATAATGAATGGAAATTAATGGTAGAAATGCTTCGTTTTCTCTATTTTTTTATGTTTAAGATGTGCCTGTAAGTGTTCTTAATGGTGGAGGTGCAGGGGAACCAAAGCAGAAAGGTGTAGTGGGTTTTCATTTAGAGCAGTGATTTTCAACCAGTGTGACGCAAGAATTTTTAAAACATGCAATACCTGACTATTTAGTCAGGGGCACTGATCTCATTTCCCTTAGATTGTCAAATATAAAAAGGACAACAGCCAACACAATAGCTGTTCGGTGTGAATGAATCAAAGTTATATCCTTTTTTTGGTCAGATCGGCAGTGAGAACTTTTACTGTATGCTCCAGAGCCATGTGCGGTAAAGGGGGAAGTTCGGGAGCGTAGTGATTTGGTGTCAGCTAGAACCTCACCCTTAGTGTTGCGGGAAGAAACCAAGACGGAGGGCTCTGTAACCTCCAAATTTTTCCTATGTGGGAATTTACAATGATGAGGAGCATCGATAAACAACAAAGAAAGCCGGTGTATTGGTAACAAAGGAAAAAGTAACTTGACGGGAACGTCCTGTCTCCACCACTCCCTAGCAGCATTGACTTTGACGAAATTTGTATCCCTTCTTGAAAATTCCCTTTCTGAAAGCATATTTCATAGAGTACTTATGAGGATTTAATGAAGTCATGGATGGATAGCCTTAGCATAGTGTCAAGACAAACAGCAAGTGCTCAATGCATGCTTGCAATGACTAGCAAGAAAAGTAAACTAAGTCACGGATCTATGGATCCAACCCTGTGTAACACCATCCATCTGGAAGCAACTATTAGATTTGCGGTCAGATTTCCTGGGGGGAAATTTATCGTACTCTTGAAGTTTTATCTTGAGCATCCAACATATTTTATTAAATGTGAATATCGTAAATGACAGAAGGAAACGTGTCAAAATTATTTCACTGGTTTGTTAATCACGTTTAGACTCCTTTGCCAGTGGAGTCTATTCCATTGTATCTCCTTGGGTCAGGTACCCTTGATTTCCTTCCCTGGATTTTATAGCCTGTGGGGTTCTCTCATTCTTGCTCTCCCCGAGATTTCAGTGAACTGGTCACAGCCCCAGAGAAACAGAAACATCGGTGAGATGAGCCATCCAAAAGTCTTCACCTTCCTCACCTGTAACTGTTAGAAGTACATTTCTAATGTGATGTGATACATCAGTTCATATCTGGAGTCTGGTTGTTCAGTGGTTTAAAATAGTTCATTGCATTTCCATGTTCAGTCTAAGCATGCTGACTTTGAATATAGTTTTAGTTGATGGTGCCAGATTATCTAGATTTAAAATGTTTTTTAATTATTGAAAACATATGATAATAAAAATGTTATGACAAGTTCTCATTATAAACAAGGTACAATTCCATAATCGGTGATATGGCCCTTTGCAAAGGACTTGCTTTCACTGTAGGTTGATGAAGGTACCAATATTTTAAATTTTTACCAGACTGAGAGAGTCCTTTGTTAAGCAGAATTGCAAAATTGTACCTAAGCCTATATTTAAATATGTAGCAGGCTAAGCTTTGTTTTGACCGTTTAAATTTAGCCATCACCTTTCAGTTCCTTTTTTGGAATTATTTCACAATTATGAACACTGCATTCATAATGTGGGTTTCAAGCTCTGGCGTAATGACCAAATGTTCAAATGGATGGATTCAAGTCAAGTGTAATGACCTGCCCAAGATCACACAACTAGTTAAAAGCAGAGCTAGGATCAGAGACAGCTTTCTGACTGTTAATAGAAATTTTGCTAAGTCTGAGCAATTTAAAAGCTTAGAATTTCTATGCGATCAAAATGTTAAGCTGCTGGCTTCCACTAGTTCACACAGTGAAAAAAACCCCAATAGTCCCTAAAGAGAATGTGTCACACTGATGGTAATTTGGGGGAAACATTAAGAGAGATGTTGAGATATTGTATCTCTGTATGTATTCTCTTTCTAGTTTTACTACACATAAATGATACTAACAGAGTCAAAACCCATCAAGCTATTATTTTTAAACAGTGTTTGGGAAGTAGGAAATGTTTCAGGTAAAAATAAGTACTGAGCAAGACTGACAATCTGAAAGGAACTCATTTTCACAGCTTCTTGCATATTCATTAACTAAAAGCATAGTTCTAAAGTGTATTTTATAAATTGTTAATTTGGGGCAGTCTTACGAGCACTTAATAGTTATGAAAGTCACAATATATTTAAAATGTCTATTGAGAGATTGTTCAAACAGTTATGGGAAACACTGATATGGTGGTTTAGGTAGAAAGAGAAGATTAAAAAGGTAGACTAGCTCCTGTTTTTTCTCACATACATCTTTACCATATTTCTTTTTTAGAATGTTTTCTCTCCCTTTTCTTCTTCATTCTGCTTTCCTCCTTTCCTTTGGCTGCGTAGGGCAAGGAAGAAGAACAGTGAAAATGAAACCTGCTAATAGTGGAAAGCAGATCAGATATATAACAAATTTTATTATAAAATGCATTTTTGTCGATGCATACATAATCGAATGCTCACATAAGAAATTTTTACCATAGATTAAATTTTCTTTGATATCTGAAAATACTCATGTATTTTAATTTCGATCTATTTTTTTCTTTCTTAAATATGGAGCTTTAAGACCTCGTAGAAATAAATATACAAATTTACGTTACTCTCTTGATGGCATTTTCTTTGATGTTTTGTTCTATTGTCCTTTGGACACTAGAAAACAATGTCTTCTAATTCCTTTATTGATGGAATAGTGGGCTGCAAAGTTTCTAGTCCACAAATAAGGTTGCCTTTAAAATTTTTGTTTCAATTAAAATACATAAGACAGCCCAGCTCAGTGGCTGAGCATCGACCTAGGATCCAGGAGATCGAGGTTCGATTCCCGGTCAGGGCACATGCCCAGGTTTTGGGTTCGAACCCCAGCAGGGGGTATGCAGGAGGCAGCCGATCAATGACTTTCTCATCATTGATGTTTCTCTCGCTCTCCCTCTCCCTTCCTCTCTCTGAAATTATCAATAAAGACATATTTAAAATAAATAATAAATAAATAAATAAATAAACAAACAAACCAACAAACAAACAATACATAAAATAAAACAAAATACCTAAGACAGTAACTTGGTCCATACATTGGTAAAGGCATGCAGTACTGTGAATGGGTTAGACAGATCTGCTACCTGGCTTAGATTGAAATAGGATGAGAGAGCAGGACACATTTTCACATGTTAAATGACAGGAGGATGACATTCTCCCAAATTTTTGTCANCAAACAAACCAACAAACCAACAAACAAACAATACATAAAATAAAACAAAATACCTAAGACAGTAACTTGGTCCATACATTGGTAAAGGCATGCAGTACTGTGAATGGGTTAGACAGATCTGCTACCTGGCTTAGATTGAAATAGGGTGAGAGAGCAGGACACATTTTCACATGTTAAATGACAGGAGGATGACATTCTCCCAAATTTTTGTCACTCTTTTCCTGTGATTTCTTTAAAGGGGAGGTTAATTTACACATGTTTATTTCATTTGATGTGCATGTCACTTAATTTTAAAGGTGCATGAACAAGTTTGTATGTGTGTGTATGCACAAACATTTACATAGTCTAATGACCAGGTTAGTTAAAATTTATTGGGGCCTGTTAATACTATTTTTTTAACTCCAGGTGAAAAGAGCGATGGCAGGTTTTACTCTATTAGTTTTTTGAAGAGAAAATGAACTTACATGCAATATAGGATGCATAACCCATAGATACAGACAATAGTGACCTGGGGTGGGGGTGAGGTGGATGGGGTCAATGGGGAGGAAAAGGGGATATCTGTAATACTTTCAACAATAAAAATAAATTAAAAAAAGAGAGAAAATTCCATAAGAATTAGCAAATAACCAGTTTTAATTAATAATTTAGGATCAATTCTTAATGAACTGTTTTTCTCTCTTTAAAAACCATCCTTAGCCCTAAGATAGCATGATTCAAATTGGATTGAAAACACATTCTGCATTACTTCCTTTTAGAGTCTTCATAGTGTTATAGTTGTCTTCTGGGTTTACACATATCTCAGCATTAAAGAAGAATTAAGAAAGTTTTCTGGTATTCTTTGCAACATCCTAAACTAGTTCATTCTACAAATAAAATATCATAATGCCAGAAACATCCCATTAGTCCCCTGGAACTTGTTCATTTCTTTATGAGATTCTTAATTTTAAGAACACCAAGAACTTTCAGTCTTCTTTTTCTACTATTTGGCAATGTTTTCCTTTAATTCTTAAAAAAAGAACATTTTTGCTTTTCTACTTACTCTGTATCTAGCTAACTTTTAATGCACATTAGTACATTAGTACACATTTATAAATATGTCAGAGAAAAATATTTTTCTAGATTTTTTGAGGGTAAGCCTTTTATTCTATTGCTTCTGCCACAATGCCCATTTTTTAGCAATTTATATTCTGACTAATCTAGTTTTTATATTAAATCAACCTACTTCTAATACTGATAGGTAGGTGGTTTATGTTTCCAGTAATGATCCAAAACCAGTGGTTCATCTTGACCTAATTCACTGTTATCAAAACTTTTTAAGGTAAATGAATGTGACTTCTGTGAACTTCCATTATGGCAACAGAGTATCCCTGGAGACCCAATTTCCCTTTTATCTTGAAGCTTTGTATGGGACAGAGTTTCTACAACTTTGGGCTGGGGAAACATGTCCTAGTTTTAAGTTGCTTACTCTTTTTAAATAATACTTAATGGCATTTAAGGTTCTT